GTTATCTTTATACCCTTTTTATAATTTCCGTTATTGTTATCTTTATGTAAGATTTTATGATTTTGTTTTATAGGTTTATAAAATAATTCTTTTTAACTACGGGAATATCAATTTATAATTTATCAACGTGCTTCTCTTCTGAAACAGCAATACCGGATGCATAATAAAGGCCAATGGCCTAAAATATCACGATTGTGCAATATTGTATTTTGATGTTGAAATTAAAATCACGACAAAAGTTTGTATATATCCATGGTCGTCAATAGAAAGATAAAATATCCAAAACAAATATTTTAATTGATAAAATAAGATTGTAGATTAGTTACAAGTTTAATATGTAGCCATAAACAGTTTTATGGCAGTAGGCAATGGCCAGCGGCAAATTCAATATTCACGAAAATACTGATTAAGTTAGAGATAACATTTAACAGTCATCATAAAACTATTATTTTTATGATAAAACAGAATTGGGGAAAGTCGTAAAGAAATAAAAGTGATAAAACTCAACAGTTCTTGGAAGTACTTCAATACAACAATTATTGTCAAGATAAAATGTTAATGGATTTGGGACTGCTAATGGGTTTTTTATTGCATCATCACGCTAGTAATAAATTATGAAGATCGTAAACAAACATCTGATAAGACTTTTATGTGCTCGGAACCAACTGCTGTTGACTACGATAGTAAACTGAAAGTAATTTATTATTATAATAGGCTGTACCGAACCGAATTTGTACCGTGTAAAATGCTGTACCGAACCGATGACGGTAATTAAGCTTGTACCGTACCGTACCGACTTTTTCGGTGCACCGCAGACCCCTACTATAAACGAATCAAATAATCAGCTATTAGGATGGTTGGAGTTCTACTGTAATTTCTTTTGTCCACTCTAATTTAAATCTTGTTTTTTGTTAATTTGCTGAAATTTATTGTAGCCATTTTTATAGTGTTGGTAATAGAGTAGGGCATGTACTTTTCATTAACACCCTTCTAGAACAGTATTCTTGCAGTTAATTGGTTTGTTTATTTATTGAGTACAATAGGTGTACATTTAAATTAAAGTAACATTTCCTCTTCTTGTTTTTTACAGTAGCATTAGAATTTTATCTTCACTAAGAATATGCCTGATTAACCCAATACCCTTATAGTTACTTGGTTTTTTTGACATAATCCAAACTATTTTTTTAAGAGTAGTTTGTTTCCGGATATTAAGATAGGTTTTCCTGATTACGTTTCATCCATCCATGTCTACTTTAATTATCATTGTATTTTATGTAGAGATGGTCTTTATTTATATTTGCATAAAACTATTAAGGCAAGTTTGGAATCTTAACTCTTTACAATCAGGCAAGTTGAATTTTAACTTAATTTAGGCCCTTCCAAAAAAGTCCAACAAAAAAGTTAAATTTTAAATTCAACAATTTTCATAAATTAATCAGCCAATCAATTTGAGTCTGTTAAAGTAAATTAATTAACCTTAATACTGTTAAGCAGTAGATAACAAAATTATTTGAATAAAATAGCATTGCAGCCATTAAGAATTTATTTATTTTGGTGTAAACTAGTTTTTTTTTTACTTAATTTAACGTTTTTATGTAGTTTCCCCGAATTTTAACACCAACCCCCAAAGCAGAATGTTTTTTAACTTTTGGGTACTTTGGTATACCGACCACACTTAAACTTGAGTTGATAAAACCCTTAGGTTAGGTTTGGGAGATTTCGTCATGTAAACTAATTTTAATCAAATTTGGAAGTAGATTTATCGGTTTGGTCGGTATAATACCAAAGTATTCTTTCTGCAACAGGCTTGGAAAAATTAAAAAAATCTGCGGGCACTTACCATCTTTTTTGTATATTTACCGTCTTGTGAGTAACAGTACAAGTGTAAATATATGTTTTAAGTGTTAGAAGACGATTCTTTCATTTACTTTCCGTAAATTAAATAACACATACAATGCTGATCAAGAAGTTGTTTAATTTTTTACTCAGCATACACCCAGCCAACTGTTGCATTTATATTCAAGTAAATTGTGTTCACAAAATAAATTGACAAAAAAGCCCTAAACAAGAGACACCAAAATTTAGGGAACTAATGTTGATTATTTAAAAAGTTAAGTTTTTATTTAAATAATTATTACAAGGCACTACCCATCCTGTTCTCATTTGTCAGAACTTTACTAGATAGTTGGTCCTTTTGTAGAAAGGTAGAATTATTGGTTGTTGGTTAAAACCATTAAAATCTGGGGTTCAGTCTTTTATTTTCCTCATGAATTTTCAACTTAATGCATATTCATTAGGTGATTGCTGTAGATTAAACGTGGCTTCACAACTTTGTCTGTCTGTTTTAGTTTTTTTGTTGTGTGTTGTTTCATCAATAATGAATTACACCTTTGGTAAGAGGAGGTTGTAAAATTATTTTTCAAATTTATCTGTTCCTAGACCAATTGGAAATCATGTTATCGGCATTGAGTTTCTCAAGAGAGTTTTAGGATTCCAGATTGAGTTTTTAACTTGCATTGAGCTGATTGATAGTTATTTATTTACATCACTCACCAAAACATGTTAAGTCAGACTTAACTACACTGTGTAGGCCTACACAAAGATATATACACACTAAGAGAAAAAGTTACACATTTCTTTAACTCATTCAATATACCGTATTATGTGTGAGCGTGGTTTTGGTACAACTGCTTTTAATGCTTTGTTTATTTTAATTTTATAGTATATATTTTATTTTGACAAAGTAGCGTACTTGCATGTTAAGGTAGTGAATTTAGACTATGAAGGTCTCTATAAAGAATTTACGTTTGTACTATGCATATATTTATTTTTGTTTTGTTAAAGTTATTTAAAATATGTATGAACTAGCCTAGAGACAATTACAGGTAAGTACTTCAAACCATATGTTAAATATAAGTTCTGCCGTGTTATTGATTCTGCCACCCCCTACCCCCCCAGCCATGGATTTATTTAAAAATAGAGCTTCCAAAGACCCAGTGATGCTGACCGACTTGTTTTATAATCGTTTTAAATGTGAATTGTTAATTAACAGCTGATCCTTCTGTTAGTTAGATTTTTAACATGAGACAAAACACGTTAATTAGGATACATTTATTAAAAATTTGAATCTATTTGATGTAAATATTTTTATAGTGTTGATTTTCAATTAACAAATTTAATTTATTGTCAATTTTATTTTTATTTATCTAATAACTTGAGTTACACAATCATAATATTTCAAAGATAAAAGGCTATTGCATTATATGTTGCCCCAGAAAAGATTTTTGAACCCTATTAAAATTTACAATTTGCGGTCAGGTTTCTTCATAAATAGATTTTGTTACCAATGATCAAAAATGTAAATTTTAAAGCCTCCAGCTTAATATAAATCAATTAAAAGTGCATATAATTTAGAATGGCATGTAGAATGTAATATACTGTTATTTGAACACATAAAATATGTATACTTAACTAGTAAAAATACTAAACCTTAATCTATAAAAAATGTATATAAATTATTTGAAAAAAGTGAAAATTTGAAAATTATCATTTTCTCTATTGTATTAAATATGCAGGAAAAATTTGAAAGCTAAATTAGGAAATGTTAAAAAGTTGGAAGTGCTATGGTAAAAATAATGATCATAGCTATATACAAGAAGGCCTAGCTTTTATTTGTTGTCATCACATTAATCAGTAGGCCTACTTCAATGATTTAGTAAAAACACTATGTCAATAACTTCTTCATTTTGTAAAGAGCTCCGTCATTTTGTAACAAGTTGTTTATAATTTACTATAAAAATAGTCCTATTGTTTTGTGTTGATATTTGTAAACAGATATATGGAAAATAATTGTACGTTCTTTTTTTAACACACCTAGGATGTCACCCAAAAAAATTAATACACTAATTGAAAGTTGCATTTTTATTTATTTAGAATACAGTATATCAATTTAGATTTACGATCTTAGGGAAAATATGACCCAATTATTAATGCTCTGAAATGTGAATCATGAAATATTGTAAGTAAGGTGCTTGTTTATAAGTTGTTTAAACTTGTAATCTTCTATTTTTGAGTTACTTAGTTGTTTAATATAATAAAATTAAGATGAAAATGCTGTAAAATTTAAAAATTCAATTTTAAGATGCTTGTTCAAACTGTAATGATATATTTTCAATAAATAGCACATGAAAAAAAAACAAAAAAAAAACAAAACAAAAATGGATGCGCAAACATAAAATTGGTTTCATTTACATCATTCAGACCTTGAATAATTCCTTATATCCTGAGTCTTGTACATTATTAATATAATTATTTTATTTACTGATACTGTAACTGATACATTGATTCTGTATAGCTGTTACTGTTACTGATGCTGATACATACATACATCATCACGTATAATTTAAGGATAAGATAAGATACGATGAATGATCGTAGAGTAGGCAGTTTTGAAAGTATTGCTATAGATTGAGAAGATTACTTCTGGAATCTAAGAGGATCTATTATTGACTGAGAAAAAAATTGAGGGCAGTTACTGAGCAAATGAGGATTGTTAAAAAAAGTTATTCCCTGGAATCTGAAATTGTTACTGATCTGAGAGAAGATTGACGACAACAATGAAGATATGTGTATTGATAAAAGTTGTTAAAACCTCCTGGAATATGAGAGGATCAATTATTGATCTGAGAGAAAATTGATGACAACAATGAGGATATGTGTATTGATAAAAAGTTGTTAAAACCTCCTGGAATCATAGAGGATCAATTATTGGTCTGAGAGAAAATTGACGACAACAATGAGGATAAGTTTATTGATAAAAGTTGTTAAATCCTTCTGGAATCTGAGAGGATCAATTATTGATCTGGGATATAATTGATAACAGTCAATGAGCACATCAGTATTAATGAAAGTGGATGAAACCTCTTGGACTAAGAAACTCGGTAATGTGGCTAATCATGTTTGTTGATAATGTTTTTTGACACAAGTTTTGACTGTGATAGGTGTTGGACCTGTAGAGAGTGGAGCAATGCTTTATCCCTCCACACCAGTTCAACATGTAAGCGTCTTGTCAATTCCACCAGGACAGTTATCCGTGGGAACAGGTATCGTTTCTGCAACCTTAAGTTTGTTTTCATATTCTAGAGGGCATGAGTGGTAGTTTCGACCCACCAAATCTTAGATTTGTATGATCATTAGCAATGTGTTTTGTAATTGTGTACACTTCTTACTGACATGGCTAGCCCAGTTTTCTGAAAAATTAGCAATTTTATTAGTGTTTTGCGTATTATCTTATCTTTATTTAAATATGTGTTTAAATTCAAAATTTTTTTGACATTTTTGTTTATCCATACAAAATGGATTGACTTCTTTGTAATATCTGACATTTTAATCATATCGCAATGTAATACTGCAAAGCCTGTTCATTATATATTCAGTATTGGAAAGAAAATGCATTTGTTGTACATACCACTGAGAAGCAATTCTATTATAAAAATTTTAACCTAACATAAATTAAATCTTGTAATAGTTTATCCCATTATTATTTGTGACTATTTTGCAACTGTTTTAAAAGTCAACATGGTTTTATATTGTGATTTATATTCCAAATTCATTGAACTAGTTGAAATCCCTGTTTACCAAGCCTTGTTAATATATAATTTATGACAGGTAATTATTTGAACTCTTAACTTTATAATTTATTGTTTTTTTGCAGTTGTAAAAAAAATATTTCACTTCATATAGGCAATAATAATACCCATAAACAATATAAAGTAAAATGAGTTGGAAAGAAACATTATTGTATCATTTTAAAACACATTACGTTAACAGTTTTTTGTTTTAAAGCTTCAATCTGACGTCAAACTTATTGTTACATTTTTAGAATATTTTCAATTTTATAATTTATTCATCAAATAATGTTTTTACCTATTTGTTGTTTGTACAAGCTCAAACTTTTGTTATATTTTGGTTTTTGTTTTCGTGTTGTGGTGTGTTTTTGCATGCAACACAGACGATAACAGATTTTCTGAAAATTTGGAAGTGAAGAAGTTAAATATAAGTCGAAGTCGGCAACAAAAGAAGGGACATCTGATGGAAGAAACCGACAACACCAGCGAAGGATTACTAGGCCTGCCTCTGACCGCCTATTGGAACAGATACAGCAGTTTTACTTTACTTGATTTTCAGGGTTAGTTAATGTCTATGAATCCGATTTGCACATTTGTATATTGGTTAAAAGGTATTATTTTGAAATTGTTGGGTACAACATTGGTAAAATTGCATCTTATTGTAACTTGTTACTCGCCAACAGACTCAACCATATTTGCTATTCAGTGTTTTCATTTATTTTAAGTTATCCTAAGGTAGTAAGATTAATTAGTTTACTACTATACAAAGGTGTTTAATATTGATTGTAAGTTTTCTAGGTAAAGCACCACTGAGACCATACATTGTCTTGTCACTTGGATGATTCTCTCAAGGTATATTTTAACCTAAGTTAGGTGAATATGTTTTTACTAACAGCTTGTAAATGCTTGTGACTAACCATAGTTATAATAATGCATGTATTTTTACTAAGAGGTCCACCAACTCATTATTGAGTGGTGATAATGTTATGAATAATTTTAAAAATATTTGCATGCTCGTGGTCTATTTTACTGAAACAAGTTAAATAACACATTCATTAAATTACTGTCCACTAAAATTACATTTGTTATTAACCTTCCAGATAGGTTCTTTACATTTAATTTTAGGAGGTTGATTTAAGTCATTTATCATTTTGATTGCAGTGGTTTCTCTTCACAAATATGCTGTGTTGTTTTTTTCCTGGACAAACCAGTTTTTTGTGAATAATGATGTATTCGTCTGCCGATTTACAGTGCGTTTTTTGGTTGTAATTGTGTATAATTTTTATGCCTAATTTCAACAATTTTTCAAGTTGCCAGCCTGTATACAATTCTTTCTCCAAACCTTCCTTTCAAATTCTCCCTTATAGTCTTCATTCCTTCTTCCTTTTTTCAATGGATTTTCTTGGTTTTAATCTTTTTATTTTCTCTCATTGTCATGCCTTATTTTAATCATAGATGAACCCGAGAGAAAAAAGAAAAATCGGTTAAATAGATCTACTTCAAGTGGTCAGCATAATGACCATCCTTACGCTATACCGTTCTTAAAAATTCCTTCCTCGTACACTGGTATTGAGGTTCAGGGTGAGTACCTACATATTAACATCAGTCCTTTAATTTTGTGAATATTCTCTCTAAAAAAATCTTTTATGTAGATTTTTCAATTTGAAGAAAACAAAAAATGAAGTTTTTATCAGGGCCTTAGTTTACTATTTATTACTAGTTGATCAATTTTAGACGAAAAATCTACATTAAATATTTCTATAATAAAGTTCAATAACAAACTTGTGATAATATTTAACATTGGCTGTTGGGCAGCATTGTTGCAAGTTGCGGAATTAGGTACTTTCTCTTTGTTTGCGGCCTGTTAGTCGGGAACGTCGCAACAATGGGATCGTTCACGGATACAAGAACAGAAACAGTAGGTATCAGCAACATAAAAGAATGACATCACTGGATGGAATCTAATACTATTTATCTTTAAATATTTGTGTTCCGGGCGTTTTTTTGACAGTTGCATTGAAATAATAATATAAACATGTTAATTTTCCGGGTCATCTGTTTTATTTATGATTCAAATCGTTTCTATTTTATAATCCGTGGGATCGTCAAACAACACACTCATTCCGGCAAATCATCGTTTGAAAAACTACAAAACGTCCCTGGTTTTTCCTCAAGACTTTTAGTTCAACATTAGTGCATAATCTTTTGCGGTAATATACTCTACGGTTTTGGACAGTCATAATCATCCCATTACTTAATTAAACAGTAAAACACCCCAAGCGTATTAACCAATGCTAAATGGTATTCATAGGAGTGGCCTTTCTTTTCTACTGTGTTTAGTAATTTGCTACTGTACTGTAGACAATTTCTTATAAGCATATGTTACTGATTAATTTGTTTTAAGCGTATATTACTATTCGTTTATTTACATCTTCGTAAAACTGTCTTTGGTACCTAGATACTCATAAGACCAATGTTAAAAATATTTAAATTCCATTCTAAGTTTTTAACAAAAACTAATTTTCCCAGAGCAGAGGTTAGCATGGATATTGTTTTTAGCCTGAAAATATGATATTTCTATCAATTTAGAGGAAATCATTTGAGCCATTTTTGAAATCGTTGTTAAAAGTAGTAGGATTATTATTATTATTATTATTTAAGTAAGTAAACCCTTCGATTCAATATCACATGACCTTTTACTTTCAAAGCTTAGCAAATTAGGGATATAGAACAATGCATTAAAATTACTCAAGTCTTACCTTTACCAACAGAAAACAGTTTGTAAAAATAATTCACCAAAACAACAAAAACTATAAAATTCATTACCGATCTTGTATTAGAGATGTGAAATTTGAAGTGCCTCAGGGATCCATCTTAGGCCCTTTTTTACATTTATTACTTTAGAGACTTTCTGACTTTGAGTGAACTTTGCCCATATGCTGATGATAATAATTTGAAAATTACTGCAAAATCAAACGATGAAATTGAACGCAAATTCCGATATAGCAGTGTTAATTTTTTTTTTATTCTAATAATATGCTTCTTAATCTAGATAAGACAAATTATCAACTTTCAAACTCGAAAATCAGGGGATCAAAATAAACCAATCATTAAGCTCGAAAACTCAGAAATCCTTAGTAAGGACAACATTGAATTCTTGGGATTGGAAACTGATAAAACTGTGAAATGGAACTGTCACGTTGAAAAGTTACTTGTTAAAATCACCTCAGGATTATATGCTTTATCTAGATTGAAACCGTAATGTGAAAAACAAACCCTAAAAGTTATTTATTTTCATATTATCCACTCAAATATATCTTTTGGGATTTCACTTTATGGTGCAACTAGTGATTACAATTTGAAATATATTCTAAAAAAGCAAAAGAAAACCATTAGAATTATCTGCAATTTCTGGAACTATATCCATTTGACTCTGGAACTTCTGTTGAAAAAGAACATTTTTTTTCAGTAAAGGACAGGCTTCATGATATGGAACTAGTTTGGGATAGTCATAATTATTTCACCAGAAATCAGGAAAACCTTGCAATTGGACAGCATAGTCTTGAAACTTAAAAAAACCATGTATACTTGATCATAGTTTTATAATAACCTCCCAATTAAAATTAAATCAGAGACTTACAATACAGTATTTAAAAATAAATTTAAAGAAATCTTCATCAGCAAGGCTACTTATTCTTTTGAAGAGTTGAATAGTCTTTGATTGTTAAAAATAAATACAACATATGTATTTTTTGTTTTAGTGTCTTCAGTTTTAGTGTACATTTCTTTTAATTTTGTTTGGCTTTACCTTTGTTTTATTATGAAAAAAGTCTACGAAATTTTTTTGTTATGTAAGAAATGTATTCAATAACTATTACATGCAATTGTTGACTCTATTCAATGTATTTCTTTGTTCAAGAGATGAATAAAGTAGTTTTGAATTGAATTGTGTGCAAACGTTACTTGTATTATAGGATAGATTAACAGGGTGTCTAACGACCTGGAAAACCGGAAAAAACCGGGAATTAAGCGAGAATTTTCTATTACTGCCGGGAGCTTTCAATTTACCGCGATCGCCTATGACGTTTTTTTGTGACTGCAGGATATATGATGATGACCACATGGCCCAGGATATTTAAGTGATTTTGCCGCGATCATGCATGAGGATGATGAAGTTTCTGTGATCGCGGTATATGTTAGTGTTTTTGCCGCGATCATGCATGATGAGAATGACGTTTCCGTGACTGCGGGAGACGATGATGATGTTTGCGTAGACGACGATGAAATTTCCATGACCGCGAAAAGTTCAACTGTCCAACTTTCCATGAGACGATGGTGATGTCCACACGGCCGCGGGATATGTTTGTGTTTTTGCTGTGATCTCACGTGATGTTTCCGTGACCGCGGGAGACGATGCTAATGTCCACATGGCCGCGGGATATGTTAGTGATTTTGCCGCGATCGCGCATGACATTTCCGTGAACGTGGGAGATGATAGTGATGTCCACTTGGCCACGGGATATGTTAGTGATTTTGCGATCGTGCATGACGATGACGTTTCAGTTTGAAACTTAAATTGGCTCTTTGGAATTTCAATTGCCGCATTAAATTTTTCTGTAGGCCATTTGAAAAACAACCCATAACTCCAAATTTACAAACCTTATGAAAGTACATAAAGACAGGGGTTGGTGTACAAATCCTTACAGAACATTTGGTAACATAAAAAAAAATGGTAGTAAGTATTGAGAATCTATTTTTCAGGTCATAAATTGCAGGTTTAAGAATTAGATTTTCTGATTATTTAATCAGCATAAAATTTGAAAATTTCATACATGTCATGCAATATTACTGTAATCACAAATTTTGTTCCTTTAACTGAGAATGTTTTTTTTAATCACTGAAATAGAGCGCAAAAAAAACAGCATTGCGGGAGCTGGCGCAAAAACACGCTGGAAAGTTTGGTATGAAAAGTATGACCTAAACTACATGGAATTACACATGATTTTTTTTCTGGTTTGCCTGGTGGACACCCTGATTAATCTAATAAATCAGAGACATTTTAAGTATTCTATGGGGCAACAGCCTTAACACTTTCTTTCTATGAGTATTAGGGATTATAGTACCTCTGTATCTAAACGATTTTAATGTTACTCAATTAAAAGATCTAAGACAAAATAAAATAATTGATAGCCTAAAATATACTTACTATTCACTGGGAGAACATTTGGAACCTAAAGCGTTGTTAAAATATTCATTAATATCCTACTGCAGTTTATTTGAATTATTTTAACAATATTTTTTTGCTAATACACCACTCTGATGAAAACCTGTTCTTTACCTGTGTACTTTACTTTATAAAGAATGTTTTGTGTAGATGAAATATGTCTATGTATGAGCTTCCCACAGGAGATTTTTATTAATTTTGGTCAATCTAACGAATCAGAAACATTGTAAGTTTTCTATTGTGCAATGTTTGCAGAAGCTATCTGCTATTGTGAATTGTGTGAAGCTCTTGAAGCCCTGGAAATAGAAATTAGTGAGGAATCCTCCACTTCAGTAC